GATCGCGCTATGTAAACCAGCTACTGTTTTGATGGAAAAATCACAAAACTATGCAAGAACTATGAAAAAAGTCTACTCACTTGTGATTCAAATCAGCATCCGCTATCGCATAACAAGGGAAAAAAATTTCGTTGTCGTGTAAATATTAAAACTAAAAGAAGAGACATTTTATAGCAAAAAAAAAAGTGATAAGCAGAAATAAATAGCTAGGAAACGAAGCGAACCATGGCAATAAGAAAATTAGGGACAAACAATCTATATCTTTATCCTCTATTTACAATTACAAAATGCTAAATAGACAACATCTACTCGAAAAGGGAAACAGCCGACTGAAACAGCGAAGCCTGAAATTAGAGCACTACGTTGTTGGCGATTGAAAGTGATGATAACGTTGCAGTGACGCGATTGGGCGTCAGACCAGAAAAAGGAGTAATTCTCACCTAACAGTTTACTGCGGGTAGTGTCCATGCTGTTCGTACTGATCTCGTATGCGTAGGGCATGCCATCTACCGTAATCCACCCACGTGGAGGAGACCGGCTGATAGCTCCACGCTTTGTAATCCCAACGTTCACCTTCCAAGTGCTTCACACGCTGCTCAATTTGTCTAAGAATAAGTATTCGTTAGATTTCAAAATAGCACCATTTAGCATTTCACTAAAATGCAGACACCTCCATCTGGCTTGAATTCCTAATTTCTCGTAATAAGCAAGATTTCTCTCATGATGCTCGATGTCGGAAATGCCGAAGTACTTTGCCCACCACTGACGAACAGGTGTCCTCTCGAATTGCCAGTAATGGGGAGGATCACCCTTGAAATATGATAATGAGTGAAAAGAGAAGAAGGCAATAGTAAGTAAAACAATTATTTGCATGACGCTTTAGATCCTTTAGATTCAAAAACCAATAACGATGAGACATCCAGACCACCGACTAAAGCTGATCTGTGTTCATAAGGACGGAAAACACCCTGGTGAAGTAGAAGAACAAAAAAAAATAAGAATAAGTATGGCCAACCTTTTTTCAACGACTTCCCCTACATCTCACAGCCCCTCCAATTTTTTTTGGTAAGAAGCTCGAACTACCTCATCGCAAAAAAAGGAATTGTGAACAATGTTGTGAAGAAGTGGAGACCAACGAGACTACATCCCTTGAGAACTGAACGCTGTTGTTCTCAAGTTCTTCTTTTTCACTTGTTGCGAATAACGCTATATAAAGAAAAACTTTTGAAAAGCTGCAAAATAAAAACCGTGTCAACGAGTATGTACAGATTTTCATCAGCCAATCGATGATCATTTTCTAAGAAACTAAGCGTGGATAAACAGATATAAGACAAGTAAAAGGCAAAAGTTGAGATCAGCGATCAGGGAAAACGACTTCTAGTAAGTTTAAGTAACATTACACTACTTGTAAAGACTCAAGCGCCAGATGATGATGAAATGCCTGAAATTCGAGAAGTTCTTGAACTACACAAAAAACGCTGATAACATGTGCGGTGCAACCAATGAACTAAGATAGACGCCACATGATACATCATGAGATGCTATCCAAATAGACTGAGATGAGTAGATGTAAATCGAAAGTAAATGCAAATATTCAATACGGAAAAAAAAAACTTTTATAAGAAGTTACGCTGTAAATTGAGAAAGAATGCATTACCTCTGGGTAGTCCCGCAGCTCGCATGTTCCATAAACAATGTGATTGTAAGC